CATGCGTGCGGCTGAAAATCCCCCCCCTGCCCTGGAGTTGCCGAGGCGTGGGCGGCCGTGGGGGCAACGCAGGGGCAGCCCCGGCCACTCAGGGCTTGGAAAGCCCTCCTGGATTGAAGTGTTTGTAAAGCATTAGTTACAGTACATACACGCTGTATCGCTCCACTCCAATACACTTTCAAAGAGAGGTTTGTGTCTTTGTACTCGTCCTGGGACTCAGGCTGCGGCGTGGACAGCATAGCTGAAGAAAGCATTCACCAAATAGTTAAATTTAGCTTTTAGAAAGCTGTTGCTGAATAGCATAAAGGCTTATGGCAAGGACTAAAAAGGGAGTGAAGTAGAAGTAAAGCATGATCTGTTCTGAGAAATAAAAAATACACCCTTGTTTATAAACACTATTAATGTTGAGTTAAATTTAAGCTTAAAACTACCTTAGGGAACTTTGAGCTGGTTTTGTAGTCCCGTTAGCGTATAGATAAATTAATACAATTCTGCTGGGCATTTGCACAGTTTGGTCTTTAGGAAGATGGGTAAACAAATATTAATTCATTTTTGGACATAGAATTTTAAAGGCTGTTTTAGAGGTGATCAGGGTAAATAAAACTTTAATTCTCAGTAAAATCTTGATAATTCTTAGTAATATTCTGGTTAATTCTTAGTAATATCTTGGTAAAAACATGACTCAGAGGAAATGAAAATTCCATTTCCACTGACTCAAGGGGCTCTGGGCAATGAACCTTACTCCCTGCGTGTCTTGATTTTTCCCTGCCTTTAAAACAGGGTTAATGTGAGGGGTGCATTTCAGGATGCAATGGTGGAGGCAGGAAACGCAGCATGAGCGAAGGCAGGCGGGAGTTGTGAGCGTGATTTACTGTCTGCAAAATGCCGTGAGGCTTTCAGAGGCAAGAAACTTCACAAATGGGGAGCTCCAGTAGCACTGCTGTGAGTTACAAACAACTGTTGTGTTTGGTTGGAACTGAAATTTTGAATTCCTGATTTGCAGTATCCTGCTGACACTAAAGAGGAGATCTAAATACGTCTGTTTTGTATACGAACTCAGGTTGTGACTTGACAAAAAAAATCCAATAGAAATAAAGCTCTTCAAATCTAGGTGTGTTGTCAGTTTGAAGAGATCTTTCTAGTGTCGCTTTACAGTGAAAACAAAAGCTCTTCACAGAGCAAACAAAATATTCTTGCCTGTCAACCATTTTGTCAGATAACAGAGAGTAAAATGCCGAGTTTCTGATTATTGAAAAGTGTTAGGAAATACTCAAGGAAGGGCAGTCGGATTTCCCCCTCTGTTCTTCCCAAAATGGCAAAGTTGTGTTGTTTCTTCAGGTGGAAGATTTAATGTGTTATTAATCAATATTAATTCTGTCCGTTCTCAGTAGTGCGGGCTGGAGCTGCCAGTCTGGCACCGGCGTTGTTCATGCAGGAAACCCCCCCACACAGGGGTGAAGCATCTGTCTCTGTGCGAGGGAGAGCTCCAGAATAAAGCAGCAACTGAAATATATCGGTCTGAAAACAGGGACATGGTTTTGACATAATAGGCTTATTAAAAATTTGGACATAAATCGGGTATGACTTAATTACTTTGTCCTGCAGGAGCTGAGGAAAACTCCTGTGTATCTTTCCGTTTGAAGTCTGCCTTCGAAATAATCAGTAACACTTGTTTCTTCACAAATACCTGTTTAAAACCTTTCATGTGGGGTTTTTCCTTCCCCAAGCTGAAGAAAGGGACCCAAAAGTAAAACCCATTCTTTATTTCAGATTGTTTTCAATTTTTATGAATACCTTTCATTTCAGTATCCCAGGGACACATCTGCTGCTGTCCTGGAGATGCTCCTGCTGACTACAAATGACTTAAAGTCTTGCGGGTTTTGCCTTTTTAAACATGTCGTGGCAGCGTCCATGCTTTGTAACACAGGTGGAAGTGCCTCATACTGAGTGACAGTATTTTGCAGAGCAATCAGTGATCCTGTTATTCAGTCATGTCCAGATTCTGGCCCTAAGTGAGAACTGGCAGCGATGCTGAATGAATTCTTTGCTTTCTGGAGAACAGCTTTGCCGTGTCATCTCTGGGAAGATTTTACAGAAGACAAAAATCTGACTTTGTAACTTGGTGCAGGACTTGCTTGCAGTATAAAATTTGGTTTCGTGGTCTGACAGTTTTATTTGCATTGTTTCACCAAGGTCACTTCTCATTCTCCCCGTTAAATCCGTTGCTGACACAGTAGATGGGCGTTTCTCCAGTAGACTTGGAACAGTCCATGCCAGCAGTGAGTTCAGCACACAGAGCAGAACAGGAGTGGCCTCGCTTGTGTTTTGGGTAGAGCACAACAAGGATTAAAAATAGAAATTAATGATGGTGAATTTGTTTTAGTTTTGATTAGGCTTTGTTCTCATTTGAGTTGATTATGAGTTTAATTTACTGGATACGTTACTTGGTCTTGACTAACATTGGCTTAGAAGTCTCTGAACACGGTGTATTGATCTTTTCTGAACTCTCCTGCTCCCACTGTTGCTCCTTATTTCAGATCTATCAGACCAGATCGAATTTCTGCTACTCTCCTCCTTACAGACACATTCATTTTTCAGTTGACCACCTGAAAGGATGATCTCCTTTCTTTCTGTCTGAGCAAAAAATCAATCTGGTTTTCGAAGTCTTTAGCCCTTTTTACAGTTGCTGGAGCAGACTTGGATGAAACAGCACATGCACAGGGGAAAACCTTCATTTAATGTGGCGCGTTGCTCCCTTTTCCCTAAAATGCCGCTGGAAGCAGGAGAGGTTTTCTGGTGCCTATCACACAGTGAAAGACTTCCTTCTCGAAGGAGCATTGCTGCGAGTATCAGATGTTACCGAATGTTGGAACTTGTTTTGGGGGGAAGAAGAAATGTTTATTCCCTTTGAACTTGTTTTACCTGGCATGAGCGTTGCTATTGGAATTCATCTCAAGTACAGTACCATCTCAAGTACAGTACCGCTGCTCCTGCGTGCTGATGTTTTTCAAGGAAATCATCGGCCTAAAAATAGTCTGCATAAACAACAGTAAGAGGTTTGTGCTTTCAGTTCCGGGTTTTAGCAATATCTTCTTGTTATTTTCTAATTGTCAGCTTCCAAAATCCATTAAGCTGATTAGAAGTGTTTAAAAACAAACCAAAACCAAAAATCCACCTCTTGTGGAACCCTGTGTAAAATGTTACGCTTCGATCAACGCAGTGCAGAAAGACTGGGTCATTGTAGTAATCACTTTTCTATCTTTATCAGCGTATTATGTTCTGAACATTTTTCCAACCATCGTCCAGCTTGGGAAATTCCTGCATGGCTCTGAAATTGTGGTCTTAGGAGAGAATATGACGAGCAAACGCTCGTTGTGGTTGGAATTCATGGTTGTTGTACATACTCAACATCCTCTGTGTACTGAACAAGGAGCTTTACTTCTTCTCATTTGGATTTAAAAAAAAAGAGAAACAAAAATAAAACTACTTAACAGCCTGGCCGAGCTGAGGAACAAACCCAGCTTGAAAATTGCAGAACACTTTGTCACCAATTTGACCCTTACATCTCTGTCTCCGCATCACCTTTCATGCTGGAAATTGATCTTTACACTTGGTCTCATGTTTTCGGTAGCGTGTTCGCTAAGATACATTTTCATATGTTTAAAGTTCTGTAATTCAGACTAAGCAAAAATTAGTTTTCATTTGTCTCTGAAAGAAGATGGTCATCTGATTCCTGGTGAAAAGGCTTTGCAGTTACTTCTCTTCCTTCCCCTGCTCTCCAGTGGGTGTTCTAGAGAGCAGGCTGGGGACCAGGGGCTGAAGCTGAGCGCTGAGAACTTTGCTGACTTTAACGGGGGTTTGGTTTCTGATCTGTGAATCTGTGGGACCTGTCTGACTTTCCCCCCGCTCCTGTAAATTGTTGCTTGCAGCTGTAGTTACCGCGCTTTCTGCTTACCCACCTGTGTGTAGGGATCGGAATGGAAAACTCGCCTTTCTGTTGCAGTTTTTGCTTCATAAAGAAAAGAAATCATACAAAGGAACTTAAAAGGAGACTTGAAGTATATTGGTTTTCAGATAGTGAATTATCATCAGTGTTAAGGGTAAAGTTACCAGCAGAAGCATTGCCAGATCTCCTAATAATCCTGACGCAGAGGGGTCTGGGCATGGTGTAGCCCTTGGTGCTGGGTGGTGTGACCGGGGTGCGAGCAGCATGGAACCTGCAGCCTGGGCTGCAGAGGCCTCCGGTCTCATAGGAACGCCACCAGAAACCAGTTACCACTGGTTAACACCACAGATAAAACTCCTGGGGAGTTTTGCTCTTTGAGTTGAAGTAAGAGACAATGAGGAGGTTGCAGTTAGCTGGTAAAAACATTTTAAAGACTCCAGGATATCCTCTTCAGGCAATACCTAATGAATTTGAATAAAACAAATCTTTTTGTACCTCTCTGGCCTAGTATAGCTTTTTCTTCAGAAAGTAAACTGAAAAACTGATAGCAATAATTGACAGAAAAATTGGCATTCCCTCTCACTTACCTGGACTTGTAGTGAAATTGGTTTAGGGATTTCATGTATTAAAAGAATTACAGTGATGATAATTTTCTTAAAAACATGGGTCTTACTTTCAGGAAAATTACATGTACGGAATGTATTTGAGTCATTGCTTTACTGTGAGCAGTAGCAGATTCTATTGTACAACTTACATGAAAAAATCTAAATTCAGCTCCCTGTGCGTTTGTGACCAGAGGGAGCAGAGTGGGAGGGAGACGGAATGCGATGACCAGACCCGATTAATAAAACTGTGGGTTTGGCCCTCTGCTGGCTGCTGCTGGGAAATGCGTCCTTGAAATCACGACACTGAGCATTTCAGTGTATTCAGCGTGTTGTGAATGTGAGTGCATTAAAATGTAACAAATCTTACCTGGGACCCTGTTAATTACTAAAGCATTAGCAAGTTTTTCTCATCTGAGAACGAAAAGTTAATCTTTCTTTCCTCTCTCCAGTTTTCTAGACAAGATTGACATAGTCAAGCAAAACGATTATACACCGTCTGACCAGGTAAGGGAAGTTTCATTAAGAAATCATACAGTTGATCTGCCATCTGTCTTTGAGGATATCTGTCTTAGTAATGTTCTAATTGCCATTTGTGGTGCTAACACAGCTATTACAATGTACTGTGCCTATTTAATAAAAATTGCTTTGTCATTCGGATTGAGATTATGTTTGTACAGGTGTGAGATGAAAATCTGCCGAGATTCAAGACTTCCATCAAGCTTCTGTGCCACTGAAACTCAAATAACCGTTTGAATGAGTTGTTTGTAATGTTTTGCCTTCCTTGCTCATTAACCGTCGTGGGCTGTCTTTGATGCAAAGATGGGTGGTATCGTCTCAGCCCCGCTGACCCCCACTGTCAACCAGATTATGTAAAAATAACTGGTTAGAAAATGTGACCTTTTTATCAGAATAGGAATCGTAGTTTTCATTTTGTTACAGACAATGTGAGGATCTTTTGAGGACCAAATCCCTAATCCAAAATCACACGTATATTCTTAATTTTCTGCCCATAAATAATGGAATTAAGCATTTAGTGTACTTTTACAGGCTGAATAACCAAAACCCACATTAATGTCCAAGAACTTTTGCACATCGATTTGATGAGGAGAGAGCAGTTTGTATCTTCCAGAGTTGTTCAAGAACAAATTAATCACTCATCATTTTAAAATCTGGGGGTTTTTTTATAAATTAGGCTTTCTTATAGCTGAAATAACTCTACTTTCAACAAAATATTAAATATGTAGGTTATTATTTTTGACATTTGGAGCGCCTAACCTTTAGATATGAACCTTTAAAGCAAGTATCAGTTTTATATTGGAGGCTGAGGGTGCCAGGAGTTTAACTTGTATTTACTTACACTTAGGATATAGCACTGAGGATTGTACTTACAATTTACTTATAGTAATTACTTAAGGTGAGCATTGAAGTAGTTACTTAAGTAAAATAGTTACATACTATTACTTCTGTAAGCACCAGTGGGCACGGTAAAACAGACCCTTTTGGGGTAACATCCTCTGGGATGTGACTTGTTTCTCCTGAAAGAACTCCAGAAGCTGATGATCAAATCCCTTCCTGTCTCTTTTTTTACCCCTTTAAGTGCATGAGTGCTTTTATTTTTTCTTTTTTGCATTATATTTGTATTGATTTCTAGAGATGCATAGCTCCAGAAAGTCTGGTTTTCCAAATTTGCTTCTGTTTATTGGGGCGTTTGAAGTTTCTGTTTCAAACACAAGTGAGAACAATGTTTAAATACATACACATTTCAATGGGAGGATTAAAATAGCCAGACAGCAATAATTTACTATCAGAAAACTGATGTTAAAATGTAGCCGCTTTGTTTAATGATTTAACAGTATTGTCTAACCTTTGGATTTTGTGTGGTTTTGACTTTGACTGAGCATTTGGTACTTGTGGAGTAAGAACAGAGCTTTGATTGTGCACATACATTTTTTTAACAGCCTGTTTAGCCTACGTGATCTTGTCAGCTGCTCGTTAGTGTTTAGCTGCTATTTAGACCCCTTGTGAAGAACATGAAAACGTCCTAAATTATAAAGCCTTTAGTTGAATTCAGGGTGTATTTTGTAGATGGTTATGTTTGGGCCGTGCACTCAGTCTGCAGCCCATGCAAACTGAGCTCTTCTCTATCAGTTACCCACCAGCACTGCATGTGGCTGCCGCTGCTTTGCAGTACACGGTAAAAGCCAACACAGGTTGGTTTTAACAATATTTTGTAGCACTGGTAATAATTTCAGTTGTTTGTGGCTCACAACTTGTGGTTATCATTTTTGTCTCTAAAGGAAATTTCAAATTTTAGCTTTGAAAAGCCCAGTTCTTATAAGATTTTAGTGGTTCAGCTCCCAGTTCTTTGAAGAAAAAAATGGAAAATTCTGAGATCTAGATGCTTCTTTTAACAGCTAAGCACTGAACAGTGGGGGAGAGACCTGTCTTTTAAAGGGCGAGTGTCAGGAGGAAGGAGCCAGGCTCTGCTCTGTGATGTCCAATGACAGGACAAGGGGCAATGGGTTCAAGCTGGAGCATAGGAGGTTCAACCTGAACATGAGGAAAAACTTTGTTACTGTGAGAGTTACAGAGCCCTGGCCCAGGCTGCCCAGAGAGCTTGTGGAGTCTCCTCTGCAGACATTCAAAACCCACCTGGACGTGTTCCTGTGTGACCTGGTCTGGTGATCCTGCTCTGGCAGGGGTTGGACTGGATGAGCTTTCGAGGTCCCTTCCAACTCCTGACATTCTGTGATTCTGTGATCTTGTGAGGCTGGGAACTGTGTGGTGACAGTTGAAGGATGCTGTTGTGTGCCACAGTCCCACTGAAATCTGTGAATGCATCGTCTGATCGCTAGGGATGGGTCTGTGCTGCTCTGAATTCGCTTCAGCTCCAGGCTTGGCACTTGGAACCCCTGTGAGAAAATAAGTGCGGCGTAGAAGTCGAGCACACCCATACGTGTGCACACGTTTTCAAGATCAAAGCCTTAAATGCAGCACCACAACGCTGTGTTCCTGGTTTTTGCAGTGCAAAACTGTGCAGTGCTGGGGAAGAGATTGCTATTTCTGTTGTTGGATATATGAAGAATTATGAAGTATCTGTGTTGAGTCAATGACTTTTTCTTTATGCTCCAGGATCTTCTCAGATGCAGAGTTTTGACATCAGGAATTTTTGAAACCAAGTTCCAGGTGGACAAAGTAAATTTCCAGTATGTATCCTTAATTTTTTACCTTTTTTTTTTTTTAAATACAATGCAGACAAATACCAGGGTGAATTGGAGGACAGGCTACCGTGTAGTCACGGAGATTGCAGTATTTCTCATGGTGATGATTAATGGAAAGCAAGTACTTTATGATTTTTTAATTTTAGTAGTCAGGCAAATTGGGTGTGCAGTTTTCTGCTTTTATTTTAAATCACAAAGAACAACGTGGTTTAGCTCTATTTTACTAATGCCTTTTCTGAGTATTTGATTAATTGCTAGTTTATATAGTGAAATATTTGACCAAAAACTTTGTACATATCTAAGTAACAGAATGTGCACGTTCTCTTTACTGTTCCAGGTTAGAAAGATTGCTTGACCTGAACAAAAAGTACTGAGTTTAGTCTGATGGTGTTGACTTTAGATCTGTGATGCTTGTTTCAGGAAATGGGCCTTTTTAAATGTCAGTTTGTAAGGGTGAAAATGAATCTGCAGTGTATGTACAGCACAATTTCTTCCCTTCAAGTGTAGGTGTTAGCAAAAGTAAACATCATGATATTTTGTGATTAAAGCTCTGTGTGCATCTCTTGGTGGACCGTGACCTGTTCACATTCTCCTGAGCCTCGATTCCTTTTAGTTTCTATGACATGGAAGTCCTAAAATTTACATTTTCTGTTCACATTGTGGGAGGGAACCAAGCGAAACAAAATGAAACAAAACAAAACAAAACAACCAACCCAAATTGCAGGATGTCTTCTAACTCTGTTTATGGTTTTTTTCTTAGTATGTTTGATGTTGGAGGGCAACGAGATGAACGCCGGAAATGGATCCAGTGTTTTAATGGTATGCTTAGAATTTATGTTTGTTCTATAAAATAGTTCTCTGCAAAATTTTCATGCCCAGTCTTAATTTTCTCACTGTGTGAAAACCAACTTCTTTTCCATGTGGCTTGATAAGGAGTGATCTGAACAGTCATACTGGATGGAGCTTTTCTTGAGTCTTGCAGCCAAGAAGGCCAATGGCATCCTGGGGTGGATGAGAAGGGGTGGTTGTAGGGCAGAGAGGTTTTCCTGCCCCTCTGCTCTGCTCTGCCCTGGTGAGACCACATCTGCAATATTGTGTCCAGTTCTGGGCCCTCAGTTCAAGAAGGACAGGAATAGCTTGAAAGAGTCCAGCAGGGCCACAGAGATGATGGAGGGAGTGGAGCATCTCCTGCTGAGGAGCGGCTGAGGGAGCTGGGGCTCTTGAGCTTGGAGCAGAGGAGACTGAGGGGTGCCCTCATTCCTGGGGATCCATTTGGAAAGGGCAGTGTCAGGAGGAAGGAGCCAGGCTCTGCTCTGGGATGTCCAATGCCAGGACAAAGGGCAATGGTCCCAAGCTGGAGCACAGGAGGTTCAAGCTGAAGATGAGGACAAACTTTGTCAGTGTGAGGGTGGCAGAGCATGGCCCAGGCTGCCCAGAGAGGTTGTGGAGTCTCCTTCTCTGCAGACACCCAAAGCCCTGGCCGTGTTCCTGTGTGACTGCTCTGGTGATCCTGCTCTGGCAGGGGTTGCACTGGGGGAGCTTTCCAGGTCCCTTCCAACTCCTCATATTCTGTGATAAACTCCTGTAGCTGCATAGAATTATCTTAGGGAGAATATAGGTGGAAAAGATTTCAAGTTTGATAACTTAACATAGCTTGTCCATTTTCTTCGGCTTCCCTCCATTTAATTAGGGTGTTTTTGTGGTGTATTTGTGCATTATTTGCCAGTTATGTGAGTGTTAAATTCCAAGCTATATTGTGTCTTTCAAGTGACAGTTTACATGTGATTCTATATATACAAAATACACAATTACAGTATAATTAATATATGCATAAAATCAGAATATGATAATTTTGCACGTAATTGCAGCCACATTGCTATGTCACAGGCAAACCAGCACCGACCCGTTAATGCAGTATGAGATGGTTGGGAACATCTGTCCTGTTAGACGTGGCATTGAGCATGGTACTCTGTGCACCACAGCATTGCACAGTGTAGCCCCAAAATGCCCTTGTCGAAAAAAATTATGGTGGAGTTTATAAATCTGCGCTTTTCTAGGGAGCCATGCACATTAATATAATCTCATGAGAAACAGCCCTAAGGGAAAGGGCCTTACTGAAAACACAGATCAAATACCCTCGTTTAAGTAACGTGCATATGAGCCAAATGCCTTAGAATGCTGAGATAGCGCCAGCCTGGGTCAGATCTGAAACGTCTGCAGGTGTTTTGTGAGATCTGGAGTCCTAACACTGATCTCCCAGGCAGGTTGGTTTTGGTGATGATGTTCCTAACTCCTGTACAGTTGAAATTAGGTCGTTTTGTGTTTATCCTGAAGTACTGCGTGTACCCTCACTACAGCCATTCAGTGTCCTCTGTATCTCTGTCTAGATGTGAAACCTTTCTCCACGCAAGTTTTCTTAAAGCTAGGGTTGGTTACAGTATTTTTGTCTTTCTGTGTTGTTAGGACAAAATATTTATGAAGACATGCAAAAGTCTTCTCTTTTTGTAGAAAAGTGATGAGATCCTAAGGAATAGATAAAGTAGAATACAACTCAGAATTCGCTGTATTTTGCCACAGTTACCGTCACGGGGCACCACCTGAGTGCTTTGGAGATGTGTGGAACTCTGTCCAATAGTTTCTTCTGTGCTATTAATAACAGCTTTGTTTGGGTTCTACCTCTGCTTCTTCCTCTTCCTGTCACCGCGTGTTCTGACTCATCTCTGCTGTTAATGTCTGAGGAAGAGGAGCTGGGCAGGCAGTGGCAGGGGTCTGGAGCAGCACAGCCACACAGAAACACAGAGATCTGGGTTCTGTGATCCTGGGAATATCTCCCAGGAAAGAGAGAGAGGGGTCTCTAAGCAGCACAGAACCCTACAGGAGGACTGGAGCAATTAACCGTGAATTCACAGCAAACTGCTATTTTTATTAATACCACTCACGCAGATTAAAAGTGCAGTTTGCCCTGAGGTCTTCCCCCAGGGGCCTCCATGTCATTTCTCGATAGCTCAGGGTTGCTTTCTAAATAGCTTTACATCTCTTAAATCTTCTTTAAATTCTCCTCTTGCCTCTGTTCCTTTCTTTTCTACATTTACTGTCATTCTGTCAGCTTCTGTTCTGTGGCCTGGCTCTCCTATCTTTAATGGTTCCTTCACTTTTTTATTTCTGGTACCTATAAAGCTGTCAGGATCAGCATTCCAGCCTGTTCTCTTCATGAAGCTGAAAGTCTGGCAGCTTTAAACTGAACTTTGAGATTCCTGGGTATTACTTCTGAAGTTTGGTACTAACTGATGGGTATTTCTCGATTTAGATGTGACTGCTATCATATTTGTGGTGGCGAGCAGTAGCTACAACATGGTTATACGAGAGGACAATCAGACCAATCGGCTTCAAGAAGCACTAAATCTCTTCAAGAGTATCTGGAACAACAGGTCTGTGAATTGAAGTTTCATTGTTCATATCACAGAAATTAGCCATCCTGTCTTACACTGTAGTCAAGATTTGTGTAGGGGGCCTGGCTAGGACAGAGTTGATTTTCTTCACAGCAGCTCACATGGTGCCATTGTAGGTGTTTGACCAAAGCAGTACTGGTAACACACTGATGTTGTAGCTGTCGAACAGCGTTTGCAAAGCATCAGGGCCTTCTCTTTCTCTCACTCTGCCCCCCCAGAGAATAGAGTGGGGGTGCACAGTAAGTTGGGAGGGGACACAACCAGGCAGGTGACTCAAAACTAACCAAAGAGATGTTCCATACCATAACAACATCATGCTTAGCAATAAAAGGGAGAAGAGGGGAGGTTAGGAGAGTCAGCCATCCTTTACTAGGCATCAGTCTACCCACAGGAGGTGGTGCGTGACCGCCTTTGCATCACTTGTTTTGTTTTCTTCTCTTTTCACTTATTAAACAATTATTATTTATATTTTTTATCTTGACCCCCAGATTTTCTTGCATTTATTCTTCCTTTCCTCCTCCCCTGTCCCACTGAGGGGGAAAGTAGGCGGGCGCCTGTGTGGTGCTTCGCTGCCCACCGAGGTTAACCCACAGCAGCAGCGTAGCTGTGGTACTTGCTTCTCACACTGCAGCCCAACCTCGTCTGGGATCACAACTGCCTGCCTGTGACATGCGTGTCTAATGCACTCATCTCATTGAAAAAACCTCTGGAGAGTTGCCATATTGAGGCTGAAGTAATTAAAGCAGTCACAGAGTAGCACACTAAAAAGTGGATGTGCTGTACGATCCTTGCTGTGCCTTCTCAGGGTGCTTGGTTTCAATCTCCTACAGGTGGCTACGGACCATTTCAGTAATTCTTTTCCTGAATAAACAAGATTTGCTAGCAGAGAAAGTTTTGGCAGGGAAATCGAAAATTGAAGACTACTTTCCAGAATTTGCTCGCTACACTACACCAGATGATGGTAAGATTTTTAAGTTTTATTAGCAATTTATCATTGCCTTGTTAGTCACGTTTAATGTTTTTGGTAATTTCAGTTAAGACTTGAAAACACTTTAAGTAGATGTAATCCTCAGTGTCTTTCAGCCAAACTGTAATGATAAATTTTAGGTATTAATAACGAGACAATCCTGTCTTATGTATATTTAACATATTAATAATTTCCTCATGCCAAAATACTGTCACTTCGCTGGTGTAGACCACAGTACAGCTTCTAATAAATGACCTTGATGAGGGGATTAAATGTA